ATTACCAGCCTGAGGCAAAGCGTGCGTCAGTGCAGTGGAAACGTCCTGCGTCACATGCCAAAAGAAAGTTTAAGGTGACACCATCCTCCAGGAAAGTGATGCACACAGTCTTCTGGGATTACGAAGGCATACTGCTCACCGCATTCCAGCCGCAAGGCAACACAGGATGTTTCCACTGCATTGACACACGGTTTGTCCCGGGCTGGTAATGGTGAATAACCCAAGACTCATCACCTGTGACATTTTGGGCTAGCATATCGTGTTCTTCATGGTAGCAATTGAGATGCTGTAATGCCAGACCCATTCTTTGCATTTTGTGTTATGGGGTCTGCAAGCATCGCACCCATCGTGCACAGACTTTGTGCAAACCTAACCTGTCATGCATTATGAGGTAGGTCATGCCGTGTGAACTTGCCTGGTTCCGACAGCAGCCCAAAGAATTTTATGCTGCTGGTTTTCATGGGCTTGTGAAAGGATGGGACAAGTGCCTCAATGTACAGGGAGATTATGTTGAGAAATAAATGCATTTTTCAAATTAGTACTCCTATTTGTTTAAGTTCTATATCCATTTGTAACTTACTTATTGACTTACTCTCATATATATTGGCACTGTTCACGTGCAAACCCAGAACCCTTTGGAGTCTAAACCTGTATGCCAAACCTGTATGCCAGCGTGTTGAGTTTCTTGACTTCGGCAAGAGAAATGTGCTTTTCACCTTCACTTGCTTGAATTTGACACTATAAATAAGTAATTCTCAAAGCTTATGATATGAGCATTTTGAGGACTGAAAATGAATGAAATAAAACACATGTAATCAGGCTTGGTGCAGCAGATTCTGTACTTCAGGAACGAATGAAATAGTGGTTGGTGGTGATAGACTTAGGTCACAGAATGTTGAAATTTGTTTAAGGTGTAAGTGGAATTGCGCAGATTGGCTGATTGACGTTATGTACATTTTGCCTTACGTAGGTGACATATAAAGATTCTGAGTGTTAACTTCAGAAGAATTTCATTCATTGCTTTCGGATGTTGTGTTTAAAATATTGTCCTTTATTTAAATAGTAAATTTTTAACATATTTAATGTTTTTATTTAACTACAGTAAAGCTAAAGTACCTGTTGTCAACCCTTGTTTGTTTTTAATTTAACTGTACTGAAATCATGAAAATACTTCTTTCTTATATTACAAATCTTTAATAGACTTAACTGAACTTTTCATTAGAATGGTAAGCACTCCTCCTTTCTGTTTGAGGGGTCTTGGGTTCAGATCTCAGCCCAGAGACTGGCTATCCTTATTAAGGTTTGTGGTTTTCCTCAGTTTCTCTTGGATGTGCTGGGAAAGTACATGATATTAGCACATGATCACTTCCTTTCTCATCCTGTCCAATTCATTATTCATACTATTTGATACTGCGTAGTCTGAGCTGTTAAATTAACCATGGAAATAGATCAATAAACTCATACTCACTGTGTGTAATTGTGCATAGTGATAAGTCACACTGCTTTATGCATCTCTAAAAAAACTTCATAAATAACAAAACAATAATAAGGCCTTGCCAAACCAACCTAAAGATTAGTTCACCACAAGCAGCACTGCACTAATTTACCATTTTATTTAGGTTCTAAAAATGACAGGATGTGACTCCCGATATGTTTTCTATTACTTTCTGCTGTGCCAGCAAAGTAGATCACTCATCGTTGTGGTGCAAGGGCCAGCAGCTAGGCCCCCACCTTATGTACGAGGGGTGGAACTTTAATAGTGGCAACTATTTATTTACAACTGATACAAAATAGATGCATGTTTCGAAGTTTTACTGCCCTTCAGTGTAATCACCAGCATTGTGTACAACCCGTTGCCAGTGATGTGGAAGTCTTTGGATACCTTTAGCAGCCCCTGCTGTGTTGATAGTTCGAATGGAGCGGTCTACTGCCTGAAGAATCTCTGGAACAGTTCTGATGCGAATGCCACAAAGTGGTTCCTTTATCATAGGAATCAAGTCGAAGTCACAAGGGTTTAAGTCCGGGGAGTATGGTGGATGGTACAGCACTTCCCAGCCCCATCGATTGAAAAAATCAGCCACAGCTTGCGCTGCATGCGGCCAAGCATTGTCCTGCAAAATGGTGGGTGGGTTCTGCAGAAAGTGTCGCCGCTTCTTTCACAAAGCTGATCGCAGGTTGTGTTCCAAAAATGAAGAGTAATACTGCGCATTGACGGTCTGCTGTCGGGGAACGGTATGCATTAGGATAACAGCATCACAGTCGTACATGAGAATCACCATAACTTTCACATTGCTGGGGTTCTGACAAACTTTTGATTTTCGTGGTGACCCATAATGACGCCATTTGTTCGATTGGCTATTCATTTGTGGCTCATACGATTTGACCCATGTCTCATCCAGCGTAATGATACAATGTAAGAAAGTCTCTCCTTCGAGCTCATAGCGCCCCAAGTAGTTACGAGCAGCGTCGTATCATAGCCATTTCTGCACTTCCATCAAATCATGCAGAACTCATTGTGATGCAATTTTTCTCATGCCCAGGCGTTCCTTCAGAATGTGAAGCACAGTCGTATGTGCTAATCCTGTCTCTTGGGCCAGCTCATGAATCATATAGCATCAATCACTCCAGTAACGTGGTAAAAGCATACACTTCTTCACTGACACTTAGATGACCTGGTCACTGCATGTCTGCCACATTTTGGTGTCCCTCATTGAAGGCTTTTACCCACCTTGCCACTGTTCTGTAAGACAATGCAGATTCCCTGTAAGCCTCTTGAAGACACCGATGACACTGTCGTGCTGTATGGCCTCTGGCACATTCAGTCTTTATCAAACTCCGTTGTTCCTGTTTTGAAAACATCGTGACAACACTACATTAGACCGCCAGGTAACATGAGGCTCTGTTCTACTTGTTACTGCGCATGCACATGATGTGGGAAGGGAGAGTCCATTTGCTCTGAGGTAAGGTAGGCATGTAACTAACGTGTGGTATAAGCGACATTATTTGGTCCCGTCGCATGGCGTCTCTACAGCAGTGTTGCCACTATTAAAGTTCCAACCTTCATATGTATGCATGTATATACTGCCATACCATCACCTGGAGGCCGTCACATACACTAAATCACATTGTCAAGCAATGGCCAGTGGAGATGATGATACAAGAGTGCAGTGTGGCAGTTGTACAGGTGGCCATAAAGTCTTCACCACATTACTACATTATTGAACTTTGATACAGGAAATTAGAGAAATTTGCTTTGGTTCATCTTGGTCTCTCGCAGTAGCAATATTACAAAGGGTTAATCCACTCCGTCCAGTGTGACTGATAAAACGTTCTTTCTTTCTTTCTTTCCATTTTAATCTTTCATCCTTGACATGTTTCAGTCTTAAGAGACCACCTTCAGAAGGATATAGCAATACAGGCAGAAACTACTATTACAGTGTGTTTTGTCAATATCAGTACATGCATGCAATATCATCACAGTGCCATGAATATAAAATCTGATCCTTTAACAACTACAGCAACGTGCATGAATACATTAAAATATTTGTAAATTAGAATTACAATTAGTCTGTTTACAAATGTGGTTTACAAAAAGAGAGAAAAAGGGAAAGAAAGAAAGAGAGAACATTTTATCAGTTACACTGGATGGAGTTGATGAATCTTTTGAAATAAGAGGACATTCTCTGTAGGAAAATGTTGGGCATCCTTTTGGAGAACATTTATTTCTTACTTTTTCTTGCCACTGAATTTGTGCCATAAATTCTTTGAGATCATTCTGAGTGAAAAAATATTTTATCAGCATGGGTTGTTTTCTTCATGGTTCTGGAGCTATGGATATTTGAAATAAAATAGCTTGACTTGAAGGTGTTTGTTACTGAAAAAAAATTACTGGGAAGGATATAAAATGATTATATTGCACAGTGTATATACCTTGATGTAATCATTCAAAATGTCTGCCATAAGCTTGCTTGAATGGCCAGGTTCATTTCCCTAAGGAACATGTAATTTTATGAAGAACTGCAGCCATATTATCTTGTCTTACAGCATGAAAAATATACTGAAATAGTTAATCTCTTGTGTCTAGCTTGTATTCATATGTCATGTTTTCATGTCACTCCAAACATGGTAATGTAAGGGGCTGAGACCCAGTGAACACAGTGACCATGGCCATTCCATGGACTATGGATTTAGTCATTCAGATACTGTGTGACGTTCCTACTAAAATGAAGGGGTGCTTTGTCATGCTGGTAGCACATCTGCAGTTGTATTTGCAGAGGAATGTTCTCTAAGAGGATGGCAGTTCGTTTTGCAAACGTCTGACTGGTTAGCATAAACACATCACTGTGTGCTGCACACATATAATACTTTTCAAATACCAATAGCTCTGAAACAATTGAGAATAAGGCCCATGATAATATAACAGTTTTTCTTTCAAAATGAAGTTGCGGCATAAAGTCACATAATAATAGCCTGCAGTCTATTCCAGTCTACCTTTGTTACTTGTCCTTATGTCTGAACTTGCATCTTATAATGCAGCTTGGAAGCAGGTATGCCATGTAATATTCAGTTGTTCAGATGTTTTAAATTAAGCAGGCTTGTATTTTGGTATTTGGGATTGTAAATTAACTGTTGGAATAAAAGTTATTGAGATTTTCTAAAGCTATAAGAATATGGAGATAGTGCGAGTATATTCTCATCAGTGTCCAGTACACAGTTCCTAGAATACAAATTGTAGCGGGTTTTTTTGGCATTTGGGAAGTGGGTTATACTAGACTTCCATACTTCATTGTTCCTTATGTAATTCCTGCAGCATCAAATTGAAATGTTACTGAAATGTACCATTTTTTTTCTTAAGGTTAAAGTTCCCAGATGAACATCATGCATGCATCTCTATTGTCCAATCCTTTTTATGTTGGTTTATTTCTTTTAGGAATGGAATTCTTCTCTATTTCTGATTCTTAATTATGAGAGATCTAACATTTTATTTTTTTATTTTACAGAGAACTGAAGAAAATTAGATTTATTCATTATATGAATTCAAGAGAAAACAAGGACCTAAACTCTTCCAGCCTGTGGCTGGTCTTTGGTGGGTAGTGTGCAGAATTATATCTGCTTATGAAAAATCTTACTTGATTGTAAGATACTGATTTTTTTTTTCATTCCACAATGTACAGCATACCTTATATGTATTTATTTTTGCATGTGTATGAAGAAATCTCCACAACATGCATTTTCTGTGTCATGTGTTTTGACAACTCACGAACCATTTTGCATTAGTTTGTAACAGAATTGTACTCACGAAATATGAATTCAGGCTGTGTTTGCCAATTGATTGAGATGACCACTTACTTGCTTACTCATGGAGCTGATCCCTTCTTGAGGAGTGGCCAATTCTGCAGCTACTCAAGAAATTCCCAGCATTTCATGGAATCCAAAGGTTCATTACCATGTTCACAAGAGCCCTCCACTGGTCCCTGTCCTGAGCCAGACCAGTCCAATTCATCCCATCTTATATCTCTAAGATCCATTTTAATGTTGTCTGCCCACCTACGCCTTGGTGTTCCCAGTGGTCTCTTTCCTTCTGGCTTTCCCACCAGTAACCCATATGCATTCCTCATCTCTCCCATTCGTGCTACATGACCTGCCCACATCATCCTCCTTGACTTGCTCATTCTAATTATATTTGAAGAAGAGTACAAGTTATGAAGCTCCTCATTATTCAGGTTTCTCCAACCTCCTGTCACTTCATCTCTCTTCGGTCCAAATATTCTCCTCAACACCCTGTTCTCAAACACCCTCAGTCTATGTTCCGTTCCTCCCTTAATGTCAGAGACCAAGTTTCACACCCATACAGAACCACAGGCAAAATTATAGTTTTGTATATTCTGATTTTATGTTTGTAGACAACAGAGGAGAATACAGAAGGTTCTAGACTGAAGCATTACCCAAGTTCAGTTTCCTTTTAATGTCCTGGATCAGGTTTTGATTTGTTATAGTCGTTGCCAAATATCTGAACTGTGCCACATTTTGAAAACATATGTTACCTATCTTTATGTCATGATTTTGCCCTGCAATTTAGTGATGAGACAGCATAATATACTCAGTTTTCTCTGTATTTGCTTCTAGACCAACCTCCTTACTTGCGTCAATTAAAGTTTGTGTTTTTCTTTATGGCATTTACATTGTCACCCAGTAGATTCACATCATTGGCATAGACCAACAGCTGATATGTCCCGTTTAATTTCAGTCCCACCTGGTTTTCCTGGAACTTGCTGATGGCATATTTTAAAGCAAAGTTGAAAAGGAGTTGCGATAAAGCATCTCCTTGTTTTAGACCATTCTGGATAGGAAATTTCTATATGGACTTTTCTGAAGTATTAAGCTAAGTTTCACTTGTGTGTCATTAAATATTCATTAAAGCAAACAGGAAATTGGGGTAAAAGTTATGATTTATACTGTTCTTCAATTTATTTTCATGGTTTCAGTTACTATTGCTTGCCACAGTAACCTCAAAATTTCATGCCATCACCATAATGTTTAACATACAGAGAACTGTTGTGTACATCACTTCTACCATGCCAGTTTTACATGTCTGTATCCCCCACTGAAACCAGAGTGCAATTGTGTTGCCCATTTAGGGACACTCGTTAGTTTCATTGCACCAATTGGAATGCAGAGTTCATGTCAGTGTTTTCAGCTTGCACAGTGTATGGGGCAGGCCTCAGTAATATACCAATCTTCAGTGCACCATTTCTCTGGGTGTGTTCATCAGACTTCTTCCCATAGACACTGCAGATTGATTGTAGAGGAATGCTGAGTCACTTTTTATTTCTGTGATATTAAATTTTGATGTACAGTTCCCCCCTCCCCCCATGGTAAAAGATGTGAGGGTTTTCTCATTGGAACAAAATTTTCAGCCCTTCTCGAGGCATGTTGATGCTGAACTATCTTCGACTTTGAAGACTGTTGCTTTATTTCAGGATCATGCCCATAAACCCATGGTATTGTCATCTCTGATGAACTTCAAAAGGAATTGTGGGTCTCCAGAGTATTTTCTGAAGGCCTTCAAATGTATTCCTTGTCTTTTTTTAAGCGGTTGACACATTTAGTGGCAGTCTGCTATGTGTTCAGATTCTGTATAACAGTACAGGCATATTAAAATTGAGGTACCAAAATCATTTGCCAGCTTGTGAATGATGAGACACTTGTTTCTTTGAACAGGTTTTATATCATATTTCATCTGTTTAGCACATTGATGGATGACCTGAGTGTCCACTTTTGATCTTCAAAATTACTCAAATACTGGGGGTCCTGCTGATTGTTTATTCTCCAAAGCAAGTTGTAACTTTTAGGTTTCAATATCAGTTTTGCCTTGTTTGAAACAGAACTTGCTAAGACAAAGGCTGTGCTATAAACTACAGTTTTTTTAAAGCAAAGATCACGTGTGACTGCACCACAACTGTACTTTACAATGCATCACTTCTGAATGACACCCATTGTTTTGAAATTAGTGACAGATCATTAAGCAAGGTATATTGTATCAGCATCTGTTGTTCACTGCTAATAAATCCACTTTCCACTTATGTATGATGTGCAGATGTAGTTATTGCACTCTTCTTGAATACCTGCTTTATCCTTTCATTCCTTACCCATTCATCCAACCCAAAATTTAATGTGTTTACTATTTTTCCAGGTGCTAATTTTGTGAATTGTATCACCCTTAGAAGCTCCTAGCTCCAAGTAGATGGTCATCAGTTCATGCTGGTAAGGTAGCAAAGTTAAAGGGTTTATGAAATTGCATGTCCTCTTTGTAAAATGAAGACAGTAACATTAAGTAATCTTTTGACGCAGATGTAATGTATGGTCCCCTTCGTGGACTTCATGTTCTGCCTATGCAATTCTCTTCTGGCAATAATCTCTGGGCTTCCACTGGATACTTCCAGGACATGGTAACAGTCTTCACCTGTGAGTCTGTTTGTTTGTAATTTCTTTTGTTGGTTAAAGTGGTTACTAATGTGAACAAAAATTTGTTATTCTTCACTTCTCTATTATTGTAAATGTTTAAGGAGCATGAAGAGGGTGTAATGGAGTTTTGTTAATGGAAAGATAAAAATGTTAATGGTGACAGGACATTTATTAGTGTGATGCAGATTTCAGAGCAGGAATTCACTCCAAAAGGATAAGGGCATATATTGCCTCACAGGAAAGTCATGGTCATGGAGTAGAACCACATAAAGATCAGAGGCTGAGTTTTAGCTCCAAACATATACTTTCAAGCTGCTGAAGTCAGATAGAATACTGGATCATGTGTGTTTATTCTGGGTGGGGCAGCTAGGGTTCAGTTCCTGGATTAGGTTATGCAGTTGCATTTACAATGCTGCTGAGATTATATTGGGTTACCCAAGAATAAGCACTTAGAACATAAGGGGTGTACCAACATCATAATATACAGGATGCAACAGGCTCGAATATCTCCTTCTCACGCCTAAGTAATACCAAATAAAAAGAAAATAATTTCATTAATAAAATTGAATAACAGAAAATATTAACAAATAAGGACATGATTGAAGAGGATCTCCCCAGGCAGCAGCAACATAATAGAACAAGGACAATGGCAGCATGAAACGGTGGTACAGAATTGCAGTAACACATCAGCAGATATGACAGACCGGTTAAACAGAATGGCAGGTTTAAAAACCTACAGCAGAGGTCAGGGCACTGCCATAAGGGAGATAGTATGACCAGGTACAGAGCTACTGATCCAAAAAGAAATATGTGGATCTACACATGAAAAAAATGGCCATAATCTGCCAGTCCTAACAACACAAATTTCCATGAACTGTGGGTTATCTTATGACTGGTTTTGCATGACACAGTCCATGTTAAAAAAGAAAAAAAAAGGGAAACCCTGACACACAAGTGCAAATGTTTGGCTAATACACACACGTCATACATCTCATGGGGGGAAGAAACTCAGCCCTTACACATACTGTACCAGTATTGTAAGATACATGCAGACACAAGGCATGCCATAGCTCAGGTGGTTAGTTGCAGGCTTCCCACAGTGGCCGCCCAGGTTCAAACCCTGTTCAGGTCATATGGGATCTGTGGTTGATACAGTGGCACTGCGATTGGTTTTCTCCAAGTACTTCAGTTTCTCCTACCAATTCACATCCCGCCGACTGCTCCACAGTCCACAGTGGACTCAATCTCACCCCACCTGAAAAAACTAAAAAAAAAACTATGTAATTACATGCAGACATACGATTGTATGGTCAGTGGATAAAAGTGCCAAGGCCTGTCCACAAAGAAATACAAAACACAAAATACTCCACTGTACACAAGCATTAAGGCTTACCTTAAAACTCACATATACTTACATGGCGGAGGCTCTGTTGTCACCAGAAGAACTTGCTGGCCAAAATACTGAACTTCATTTATACATGTTGCGAGAATCAGCAGAATCCAAACTAAATGTAGACATGTCTTACTTGCACGGCTTCCAACCATCAGAAAGAGACTGTCCCTCATTCATTGACTAACAACCAAACCCAGAAACAGGAAACAGGAAACAGGATGCTGATTGGAGGAAGTAGGTCACCCCAGGTTATATGGCCAAAACATAAGCAAGATGGAGGGAATTGAATCAGAGGTGGCTGGTTGGCATGAAACAAAATGTGAAAGGGGGAAACCCAGAGCCAGAAGTCCAAGAATGACTCACAAGGACAACTTCATTTTTTTCTCTGCCTTTAACACATTTCTTCAGAAGGTTTCATTAGAATTTCGTGGATGCACAGTTTCCCCTTGTGTCACCATGCCATGAAGGTTAAAGTTGCCATCACTGAAAGACAGTAGGTCATATTTCTTACATAATTATGTTCTTCGGAGAATTTAATTACTCACTTAAAGAGTAGGTGGCACTGTAGCTTTAGCAGATGGAAGCTTGTTAACTGATATATAGTAGCCCACTTGTAGTAGATTGGTGATACATAATATGTTACTTCTGGTTCTAGATAATATAAGAATTTGCTCAACCAGCTCTGTCAGTAACAGAGTTGGTACATATCTGAAATAAATGAAGATGCACTGGAATTTGGTAGGTTAATCCTTCAGTGGAGAGTATCAAGTATGTTATCAGACCATCTATGTCGTATGTCATGGAATGATTTCACTTACAGTGCGCAGTGCTGCAGTTATTTTATATTATGATGTGTTTTAGAGTTATTGTGGTTTTTGTTGTTATGTTGTGTTCTTTGACACAAATACAAGAAATCCCGCTCTTCAGCATTGTTGAGTACTAAAGAAGTATCATCTTTTATCTGTATGTTGATGATTTTCAAGAACTCGAAATATATGTGTGCTCCAGAGAGCCAGCTGATGTACTGCTGTCTTTTAGCCATTTCAGATAACCAATGCAGAGGTCACGGGATTTCAGAATTAATCTCCCGTAACTTTTTTCTTAGATGTAGTGTTCAAGAGTTGTGTCAGGAGCATCATTTGTGCTCCCACCTCACACTTTGACACTGCTTACTGTCTCTTAATAGACGCTCTGTTTAAAATTAAATACAAGTTATCATGCAAGTATATCTTGTTTATTGCCCAAGTAGACTATGTGGTAAAGATAGCTTTACATATTTCAGTCTTACAAGATCATCATCAAGCGGTATACCTTATTAAAAGAAAATTTTATGGCTCATGTGTGTAAAATCTTCAAGTCACCTTAACTTTGAACTTACATTATGTTATGGTATGGTGATTGGGTTATATTAAATGCTATGAAATTGACTGTATTGTTTTATTATGCTATTTTTGGCTGTCTTGTACTCACTTTCTGTTGGTATCGAATGTGAAGCTCTGTGGCTGTGTCCTAATACCTAGGTGACATGCTAGACTGAACTGTAAAGGTCTCTTTAATAAGGTATACGTCCTGATGATAGTCATGTAAGACTGAAACATGTTGAGGCCTCTCTATCATGCAGTATACTCAGGAAATAAACAAGATATACTTGGATGGTAACTTGCATTTGATTTTCTGGATGAATGAATGAATATTGGGAAATGAGTCCTGTCAGAGAAGGTGCTCTGTTTATCACTATTTCTGGACATGTGTTTATGTCTGGGGATTCATAGTATTCTGTTGTGCACACAAGTAGGAATATCTGTACAGTGGTGTCAATGAACAGGACGATTTGAAGCCTAGTGATATTTCAGGCATCAGAAGTGTAGGGTTTGTAGGGAAATTTGTGAATTCTGATGGGAGTGAATTGTCAGCCACAGTTGAAAATAGGGATAGTGATTTCCTTGATGAGGAAGACAGTATGTTGACAGTGGATAGAGGATAGTGTATTGTGATAGTGTTTGTATGATTGACACTAATTTTCTATGGAGGATATGTAAAAATTCAGTGGACAAAGAGAAATTTTACTGAAATGAGTGGACCTCAAAATAGTGCATAGGTTGAACTGATATTATGGGTATAGTTGAATTATTTTTTGACAGCCCTATGTGGTGCAGAAAACTGTGGAAGGGACCAGTTAGTATGTACTGCAGTTCATTGATTCTAGAGTGGCTCTTTTTTTTCCAAGTGGTTTAGGATAAAAGATTGGCAGCATGTGACAGTAGAGGAGACTGTATTGTCCTGGTTATTTTCATGCTTATGGGGACTGTGCAGAAGCCAAGTGTGAGCCTGCTTATCACAGATTCAACTGGTAGCTACACCCATTTCTGGTTGTCATCTCCTGGGATAGATTTGAAAGCATCTAGAAATTTCTGCATTTCACAGACATCTTGAATGATAAATATGAAGGAAAACAGAAATTATTAAGAATGTATCCTGTCATCACACTTGTGTCAGTTCAAAGTTCAGATCCTGTATCTATCCCAACAACATGGATGCCAGCAGGGGTGGCAAAGTGTGAATCAGCCCCCCAGGTTTTGGTGTGGTGGTGGGGGATCAGAATTGAAGAAAAGAAAGAAATATACAAGATGATAATAAGTTCTGAGAAGTAGTAATTACCTGCTTTATATTGATATAACATGGGCTGAATAGGAAAAGGGAAAAATTAAGGGGGATACACAGCAAGATGATATCATAAGCCTTCTAACGAAACAAGGGGTAGGGGGTTACACAGATGGACAACAATGTGATCTCATAAGGCTCCCTTTATTTTTTCAAAGCAAGGAATGTAGGCTAAAAATTGAAAAGTATATAAGGTGATTTCTTTTTATCATGAATACTCTAGGGATGTCAATAGATGTAGTGTTAAATGGCTTAAATGTAAACTTGTAAACAAATTTTTTGGCTACCCCCTCCCTCCCAGAACCTACACTCTCTTTCTTCTTTCCCCCCCAAATCCTGGGGTGCCCATGCCAATGAAGATGTTAGGTGATGAATCACTCACTTTGTGGAAGGCTGCCTGTTCTTTAAACCATACTGAAATTGTTACAGTTTGGAAACTGTCTGAGTTGACTTCTGGTTACTTGTGGTCTTTCATAGCTCATGTTGGAAATGCCTGTCATTTTGAAAGACATACCCAAAACAGCAGGAGTAGTTCTGAAGCTGTCTGAACCCCTGTTCCACAAGGGCTATAGTTCTCCAAGTTTGGTAATTTTTCTAACATCATGTAAAGCCAGTTGTATGGGTACCCTGAAAATAAACGGGAAAAGTATGTCCAAGAAGGTGAAGCAAAAAGCTGCAGAAGGAAAAGGTTATGGCTCACCACAGTAGTCCTTTGTGGCTCTCAGATGGAATGACAAGAAAGACATGACTATGATCACAAGATGTCATCACCAGAACATAATAAAAACACGAAGAAAAAAAAACAAGCCTGTGTGTGACTCATTCTGACCAAAATTTGGGTGGCATTGATGAGAAAATCAGCTGCTGATGTTTGTAAAGAATGAATAAGTGGGGCATGAAACTGATCAGAAAGCTACTTTGTACTCTTTTCTTATACAGGAAGGTT